AATTTTTTAACCAATGTTGTCAAATAGCATCAATATTAAAACCTATTAAGGACATGGTATATCAATTGGAAAGTTGACATGCTACTATTGCTGATTGTTATGTAGCATTGATTAAAATAGCTGCAGCTATAAACTATCTTTCTAATATTAACTTATTTAAGTCTAAAGCCATTAAAATTTACAATTCACTGTTTAAACAATTTGCAATGCCATTGTATCAGCTTGCCTATTACTTACATCCTTTATATCAAGGTAATTATATATAAGCTGATATATATGTATAATTATTTAATCAATTTAATTTTTTTATATTTTTAGGTATTGGATTAAAGCGATATCAATTTTATGAAATTTGTGAAACTGCAGCCACAATGTGGCAAGAATTGGGATATGATGAAGCTTCATATGAAGATTTATTAATGGAACTTCATACATATAAATGCAAAGAGAAACTATATACCCAAATATTTAATAAAGAAAAGGATTCAGCACTAAAATAGTGGTTAAGTATTGATGCTCAAAAAGACTTCTTGGCTGAGCTAGCCATTAAAATTTTTTCCATTCCACCTTCTCAAGCTATATGTGAGCGAAACTTTTTCACATTAAAATAGATATTTGGTGATCGAAGAACAAGGCTTAATATTTTTCACTTGGAAGCAATAGCAAAAATTCGTGCATTTTGCTATACTAATATTAAAATTGAATTATCTTTTTATGAAAAGGAACTATTGGAATATGATTTAAGAGACAGTGTAATGGATCAACTATCAATGCTAGCCAAATAGAATTTGTTGAACAATCAGAAAAATCTTCTAACTCATTCGAACCTATTACTGGATATTGCAATATGCAATTAGATAAAGTAAATGATACTAATTTGCTAATTAATAAAGTAATCGATTTTTCAAATCCAGCCTTTGTTGGCAATAACAATTCATTTATCGAAAGTAAAAGTATGGTATCAAATAATAATACTCAATGACTTGAATTGAAAAATCTTAATTATAAAACAGCAAATTTAGTAGCTCGGATTTTTAATGAAGAAAGTAATGAATAAATAATTAGAATAATAAATGCATTCGCTTAGATTCATTTTATAAC